TTTTTTTTTTTAGGGCGGGGTGGGAGAATGGGCAATTTCCAAAAAAAAAAATTCCTGCACAGCAAATCCTGCTGAAAATATAATCGTACAAGGAGAGCCAGGGGAAAAAATTCAGTTAAGAGCTTTCTACTATCCAGCTCTGGTGTTTGACTTAAAAAAATTATGGTCCGTCCCTTACATGAAAGGATTTTACAGTGACTTAAGCCATATGCTACATTCTTTTTCTATTAATAACTCATTTACTGCCACTATTATCTGGGCTGCCGTAAAGAATTCTTGTTTCAACTGTTTTTGTTCCACTGCGACTTGTGCTGAGCCCGTCCAAATCCTTCATCATAATTGCCTTTGGCTTTAAACAGCTGTTTGAAGTGTGGTTTACAATAAAGTTCGCCTTGAAGAGCAGCGTAGTTTCCAAGTCTACAAGTGAAAAAAAAAAAAAAAAGAAAACAATTACAGATATTACATTTCAAGGCTCCAACACAACAGCAATAACATCTACCACAAGCAAGTTGCTTCATTCTTACAGATATATATTGCTGAAGCTTACAATACTCAATGCTAACTTATGCAGGAATAGGCCACTTAGAAATTAGTACTCTTTCAGCCGTTTCTTTAGTTTACTGCAAGGGGGCTCTTACTCACTGCTGATGCATGTGGTGGCCAAAAATGGATCAGAAAATTGAGGAAGCAGTGAGAGTATTCACTACTTCTGAAAAATAGTGACATTATGTAAGCTTTTCGTCAGAACAGAAAAATCTGTCTTTAAGTGTGGTTCCATTGTACCACTAAATATTATTTTACTTCTGGTCTAAACCCTTTAGTACTAGCACCGATCAAAATTATATTTCTCCTCACAACATCAAAACAAAATCAACCATGCAGGCCATGAGAATGACACAAATGATCACTGAATCAAATTCTCTCGACTACCACTGACCAGACAGGACAATTTCTATTCTGATCAATGAATATGCAGAAATTGATTTTGATAACAAGGAAAGAGCTGAAGAAATGACCAACTATTACACTTGTTAAAGTGTTCTAACAATTTCTATCTCGGTCAGGTCAGCATGTCCAGAGAGACAAGTTCTAAAACTGCTGGACGCTGAGGAATAATGATTATAATTCACCATTATCTGTTAAGGCTGACAAAATGCTACCTTCAGAGAGAAAGTCTGAAAGAGTCTGAAGTCTAAGAGAGAAAAGGAGAATCCTTCACTCAAGCTTAAAAAATCCCCACAAACTGCTGACCTAGCACTTACCAAAACTGAGTCCACAATACTTATGTAAACTTTATACAAAGTAAATTTTGAAAAACATAACTATTGTCACACCCTCTCTGCACTGTGATGTCAAAATGTTGTGAGAAAAGCAAAATAAGATACTCTTGCAAGGTTCAATGACAGCCACAATGTAACAAGGTGGATGCAGTTTGCAAAATCATTAACAGCTTAAGTACCATCTATAGTTTCCATGGTCACTTGGATTATAGTCACTCCCCCGCCCTGGGTCAGAAGGGATGCTAGTTCATTACATGTAACCCCAGGCAGCATTTTTAACGTTTTATGCCCATACCCATTTATTCTCTCCAGCAGACAAACGCACTGTGACATCCAAGTGTCCTGCCCAAGTACACAACACAGCAACCCTTACCAAAGACTTCAACCCACTGTTCAACACTGACCATTACATAATGCCGCCTCTCCCACACTCTTATATAATTATATGGGTAATTGACTAAGCACGAGGTCAAGATGGCTGGATGTTGGCTAAGTTCTTTTTTTGTGTGTTTAGAGGCTGAGATGGAGTCAAGGTACATAAACTTGCAAAAAAAAATAATAATCAATCAATCAATAAATAAATAACACAACAAGGCCAATATCCAGCTCAGCCATCTTGACTGAGCAAGCTCGGTCAATGAGTTGTTTCTTGTGGGACACAGCAGGTAGTCCCGAGCAGTCAAGATAGCGCCATCTTACCTGATCGGGTAGCCAATCACAATGCAGGATTTGGTTCACCTTGCCCACTTATATCATTAGAGGATCATTACTTATTAATTCACAGTGTACTAGACATGTATCTAGAGCAGGTTTGGCTGCCTACAGGTACAACATACAACTTACGTCCAAAACAGTACAATACTGTATACATGTATCTTTTTCAGGTAATGTTAACTTGCACCAGAAGCCTATTGAATCCTTTCAAAAATACAAATATTGTGTTCTGTTTGTGTGAGCCAGGCAGATTTCATACAGCCTTGCATTCTCACCTTTATTCAGTAGTTGGTGGGTGTCCCCCTCTACCAAACAAAAATGTATCAGTAAGTTTTATTTTATGTTCTTGACATGTTTTGTATCATGAGGAGTTTTATGAAGATGAAGAATGTGGCTCTGTTCCAGTATGCACATACACGGATGACAAAATGGCTTGAATCTTCAGTTGAATGGAGTGTAGACAATTGCCATGTCATATCCTTGGAACAGTTGAAGGTTTATGAATTCTAAGTTAATTCTCAACCTCTCTCAGTTAAACTAGGAACACCAATTGAGACATAAGTGGGATCACCTCCAATTTTTTATCACCTTTTTTAACTGACTTGCCAGACAATAAAATACTGTACTCGCAAAGTTACAAAACCCAAGAAAAACATTGTAGTGCACAACAGGATTTAACGTTATGGAGGTTATGGGTTTTAAACTGTGTTGGCAAGCCTACTTGTTGGTTACTTTTAGTTTGTAACTGTTAATTAATACATAATTGCCTTGATGCACTTTTCTTCGCATGCTTTATCACAGTTAACATAATTTACTTGTTTGAGAACTTAATCACATTAGCATTATTTTAGTCATTTACCAGTGAATGGCTGATGCCAAACGAAAAAAAAAATCATTGACTTCTTGCTGGAGGAAGAGATTTTATGCCAACAAACAGACTTAAATATTTGTTCATATTTGTTCAATATAGTTACAATATGTTATAAGTTATTGATTGTTGCACTTTTTAAAGTCTGACAGCTGTTACAACAAGCTCCAAACTCCTATAAATCACATGCATTACAATACCATTATATTGTACTTTCACTGATTGTCTGATGTTTAGTTAGTTCTTAAAGAGTAGTGCTCAATTATGTTCTACAGTTTCAAATTCCGTGTAATATTTTAATATACGTGTAATTATATATATGCAACTGCTGTACAGCTGTTGTAAAATGAGATATCTTAGTCTGTGTCCTAACATCTCTTCAGTTACAACAACAACAACAACAACAACAACAAAAAATGCACAACTTAATGAATTAACTCAAAATACACATTTATCTACTGTGCATCAAGAGCTGTTAACTCCTGCTATTAATAATTTACCTTGATAGGGCCACGAGTTATCAATCTCAGTCAATTAATGCTAATTATCACATCTACATATATAAAAATATTTGATACTTGAGTACTTAATAACATATAATTATATCAAGATAATTATTATGTACTGCGGATATTCATGTACTAAAGCGTAAAATGTCTTATAATGACTACAGGTGGCTGTGCCCGATTATTTGGATAGAAACTAATAAAATTATTCACTTACAAACTCGACAAGAGACAAGAAAAATGGGCAATTGCTGTGCAATGTATGTGCAGATCAATTGAGAGAAATGAGATCTGATGCAAATTGCGATGATGGATTGAAAACTTACACTGTCAAATGTGCGTTTGTACGAAAACTTGAAAAACATTCACGTACATGTATGTAGTGACCAAAACAATAAATTGAAACAACAAAATTGCAACAAAAAGGGTTTGAATCACTAACAACTAGATGTACACGCAATAATAAATTTCTTAAAATAATTATCATCCCACTAAAGGACGACGGAATATCAAAGTGCCATGATTATGATCATTAATGCCCCCGTCATGTGTTACAGTGTTGCGCACAGCACCTACATGATGTACATGGGTCTTCTGTCATGAAGGGAAAGTCTACAGGTGCTAAACAGGGCATGGCATACATACACTGTAATAATACATGTATAAGGTTAAGTCTGCATATGAGCCAAGTGGCCCATCAGCCCAGAGCTTATCCCAGATTCTGTACCATGAAGCGACTAGGAGTATTTCTACTCTCCCCTAGTGGGATGCTAGTCCATTGCAAGATTAACCCCAGTATTTAATTTGCCGGTACCCATTTACACACCTGGGTTGAGAGAGGCACTGTGAGAGTAAAGTGTCTTGCCCAAGAACACAACACAATGTGCCTGGGCAGGGCTCAAACCCAAACTGCC